AAAAAAGGGGTTCACGTCATCTCACATGGGTCAGCTTGGCTCAGTTCCCAGTCGTGTCAGTGTCACGTGTTTCATCCAAAAAGAGCGACTCGCACCCAGAGCTCACCTGGTCGTTCCTCCCACCCGGACCGGTGAGACCGGTGTTTAAGAATCAATTTAAAGAATCGCCTTAAATTTAGCTATTTCTTAGTAATCAATTTTAATACATAGCCTACTAGTATGTTATAGCTAAATTGTCATCACAAACGGATGCCGAGCGGTTTCTCGAACTGATTGTCGGAGTGAATCTACAGCTTGGCTTGGTGTGCGCACCACGAAAAGCGGGAGATTCCTTCGTGGAAATAACCCGCTTCCTTATTCCAAATGGTGAATGGGAAGCATAGCGCAGCGGCAGTCAGGGAGGTGCAAGTGGGTTCTATATACTGCAATTGAAAAGCTTTGAGTACAAACCCACCCTCGTACCCAACACTGCTGGCAAACCTTAGATCAGAACAAATGATTTGTGAAGCACCATGCCATGCATGTACAACTGGCTGCCCATAAGGTTGCCTTTTACATCCTTTTACATGTTGTTCCACGTGCTTGCCTCAAGAAATTGGATGACCTTCTAATATTGATACAAAAGTGTGCAAAAGACTCATGAAACGATTTGCTCAGTCGCTTCACGTGATCCCCCAAACCAGTTTTTGCCTCGCTTGGTCAGCTCGGTCCATGGTCACGCGTGCCGCTTGCTCCTTCCGTGCCGCCACAGTGCGGCGGCTTGCTCTTCATAGCCAGAAATGCGTTGGAGAGCATCGTAGATTAGGGAATCTGCGAGCCCAGGGGGTGGGGTGTGGCAGGAAATCAAGGCAAAGAGGACTCAGCGCTAGTGGCAGCTAGTGGCAGCGATCAGAAACATTAGTATATATATAAATTATATTTATACATATATACCTTGTGATGGCCATTGTAATATATTATAACTGCAACAGAGCATGGGTTCTGCCGAAACAGGCGAAACGCTTTGCCAGGGGAAGAAAGAAAGTTCTGCGAAGAAGTGGTGCGTTTGTGTTTGTGCGGTAAGGGTTGCACCAGAAGGGACAGTAGTAGTTATTAGCTACTAGTAGTATGGCCAGGAGCTACTAGTAGCGCCCTTGCTCCTAGTAGCAGTAGTACACTGCTACGGAAAAAGAGACGTGGCCTTCTTCGCCATTCTTCGCCCCACCTTCCAAAAAGTTCTTCGAAGATCCGCGGCCCAGCACTGCTGGGCTATGCTGCTGGTGAAGCGACCAGCACTTTGTTCCATCGAGGTGATCGGTAGTCACAGAGGTGGAGCACTTTCGAGCTTAGATGGTATCGCTCAGCAGCCGCCATGTGACCATCAGTTTAGATGGTATGAGTCACGGTATGACTAAGGGACACCGAAATAGCTACTTGCCTCAATCCAAATCGACACCATGCCATGTGGACAAGCGTTCCCATGCAGAGTAGGGTTGTTGCGTGTCATTGAGTGTTTTTTTTTGTTTGTGTTTTGTTCTGGAGGATGGACAGACATTATGTTTTGTGTTCATTTCTCGAACGTGTGTTCACATGCAATGGCATGCGTTAAATAGCATTGTATAATGGATATTACTATATTTTTGATTTAGTATTATATAGATAATATTCTGCAACTTTGCACCATATATTGTGCAGGAGTTTTCGTTTACTTTTTGTTTGTGTATGTCATGAGGCGCTGAAAGAATCTCGCTGCAGAAATTCCCATCTCGGTGACGTACCTGGCATCTTGAAGGGGTGCATGTGAGAAATTCAGTCTCGAAGAGGACTCGACTTCTTGTCGCGTGCATGTTGAGACAACGGGCCAGGCCTTTCAATGCCGATAAGTCCCGCCAGGTCGACGAGGAAGCAGCTCGCCGTTCGGGTGTGGCTGTCCTTGGGCCGGCTGCTCCGGAGAATTCCCGTTTGGAGCTGGGAGGAGACGACGTGGATGTGATGATGAAAAAAACAATTCAGATTCTGGCAAGTGAATGAGCAGGTGTTGAGAGATTCGTCCGATTGCTGAGTCCTTGGGCCCAAAGGACGCAACACCACCTGGATTTTGACTCGATTTCCGGACAGACACGATCGGGGTGTGCAAGAAAGAAGGGCCAGCACTGGCTGTTCAACAGGGGATGCGGCTTGTTCCATGATATGCATGGGCAGCCCTTCCGCTATATTGGACCACCATCAATGTTGATGTGTTCTCTCTCCGATGCTGTTGATGGTTGTTGGCAGGGCCAGCACTTGGCCTCCTGTTGATGTGTTCGCAAGATTCAGGTTGCACTGCAAAGCACAGACGGGAGAGAGGCATGCATCTCAGATGGGATGGTGAGATCAATTCTATATTTCAGTCCGAAACGAGCTGTTTCTCATTGATTCTCTAATGACTTTCTTTGCGCTGGACATCGAGCATGGAGCATACACCACCGCCGCTTTTTTCGGCTCAGCCAAAGCGATTAACTCCCGCGAGCCCCGCCCATCGGCGGCGCCGCTGAGCCCTTTGATGGGGGATGGTGCGTGTTGCCCTTTGGGGTCGCAGAGCTTTGGATCGCTAGAAACATCGGGAGGAATTCATTTCCGGAATTCATTGAACCACGATTTACAGACTCCCACCCCATCCCACCCCAAATTCCTTGTTGCGAAACTAATTAAGGCAAGATCCTTCAGATGAAACGTGCTGGAGAAACATGGTGGGATTTTCGGACGGAGCGGACGGAATCACGTGTTCATCAACAACAATCCTATTTACGACGACGACGACGACGACTGCTACTACTACTACCACCACCAAGACATGAAAAGACCGGCATGAAACCACTCTCCTTTGCTTCACCAAAGACTGTGTTCAGATGCAGGGAAGTGGTGAAGCCATTTGGCTCAAAGTGTCGAGTGACGCCCGTCATGGCTGCAAAACGTCCCTTTGATTTACAGTTGGTTGAGCCAAGGGAGCTTGTGATTGATGTGGGCCCGGGCTCCTCTTCCGCTAGAGCCGTCGTTTTTACAAAAAGGTGATTCAACGAGCTGAGCTGCTTTCGGATTGGTGCCGTCGTTTGGAAGCGTATATTTGTTTGGATTCGGTGTTGCCTGAAGTGATGTGCAGCTAGTTGCCTCTCGTTCGTTCTCGCTTTGTAATATATGTAATATATATATATAACAGTCGCCTCAGTGCTTGAAATTACGCAGGATGTAAAGGCACTAGAATTCAATGTAACGATGTAGCCGTCAGACACGATGTCGCTATATTTTGCGCATTATTGCGTTATTGTTTTAATGAGGGGACTCCTCATTGTCATGAAGGCAGATTGCCCGGAGTTCGTGCGACGGGCAAGGGTACAAGTACGCCTTTGATGCATCGGTTGGTTCAACGGCCGGTGCACTAAGTCTTGCCACCTTTGATGTATCTCACGTCCAACAGAGAACCCCAGCTGCCAATTTTGCAGGCAGAAACCAACTCCCTAGCAAGCGCTGGGCTAGCTAGTCAGACGGCTCGCGGGGAAAGGCAACATGAATTCACATACCTGCAGCACATCCAGAATGGTTCCCAGTTCCCCCAACAGACAATTTTTGCCTTCGGGATTCTTCGGGATGTTTTGCCATGAGTTCTCGGGCGCTATGCCAAGATGCACCAAGCAATCCCAATCTCCTAGTAGTTGCCAGTCACGACGATCAATGGCCGTCAGTAGTTACTTTATTAAAAGGATATGAACAAGGAACAAATTTCAAAGGATTCAAAGGCCCTTACCCTTACCTTGTTGCGTACATGTCTTAAATAAGTGCAGTAAGATGCAGAAAGATCTCTAGGATCCATCTACCTCCTGAGAAGGTGTTTGAGGTGAGCTTCCTGTCAAGTCTCAGTTGCCAACCACCCCTGAGATCCTGAGGTCAACGCCAGGCCTACGTCCTAAAATGCACACACAGTTCGGATCTCTTCAACGAAGACAGAGACTTGCTCAGCAAGTCACATTGTGAAGACTTGGAGGGAGAGATGGATGAGGACGCGGAATGGGCAGATTATGGAGGTGCCTTGGCAAAGCCATAAGTTAACATATAAATGTATGCTACCCCCTACCAATACACACCTTTTGCGTTGAGAATGACTGACCAACCATGAATGATGGTGATGGATTGCAGGTGTTGCAGCTTGTGTTGCTTGATGGTTTGCAGATGCTTGTCTGGAATGATTTAAATACACTTTTGTTTAAAAAGGCGCCATATTAACAGGAATGGTTAAAATGTTTTTCCATTGAAACATGGTCACTTCCCTTCATGTTTAAAGGACATGAAAAGGGACATGAAAGGAATTAATCATGTTTAAGAGGAAAATGAACGGTGTTAATCATGTTTTCAAGGACAATAAAAGCAATAACAACTTAAAGAGACAAGGACAAGAATTCATCAGTATTCAAAGGAAAATGGAAGGACTGAGCAATTCCTTTCACTTTCCCTTTCAAAAGGATCACTTGTTTAACTTTTAAACAAAAAGAATCAGTTTTAAAAGTGACATGAAAGGACTTGATCATGTTTGAAAGATTTTCCATTTAACCATGCTAACTTCCTTTTATGCTTAAAGGAAATGAAACAGTTTTAAAGGGAACATGAAAGGGATTAATCATGGCTAAAAGGAAATCATCAGTTTAAAAAGAACATAGATAATCCTTTTTTGTTAATTGACAGTACAAGGACATAAGCATATTTAAAAAAGAAAAAACGAAAAGTAGTTTTGCAAAGGCATCAAATGAAGTACTCATGTTTAAAAGGAAACAAACCGAAAATAAGCATTGCTAGAAGGATAATCAAAGGAAATAATCAAGTTGAAACGGGGTAATCGATTTTTCAATTGAACATTTAGTCGATTTAGTAATGTTCAAATGGAAAATACAAGGAAATATCATTCTTTTAATTGAAATCAAAGGAACTGATCATGTTAAAGGAAACAAACTGAAAATAATAGTGCTTTAAAGGAAAATAAAGGCATCAACTATGCTTAAAAATAGCATATAATATTAATGTTTAAAGGACAATAAACGAACATAATCAGCTTTTAAGGTAAAACAAGTAAATAAGGTACAATAAATAAGAGAAACTATATAGTTGTTCAAGCCAAATACAAAAATAAGTGTTTAAATGAGAAATGAGTTGATCATGTTCAACAGGAGGATGGGTAACTGGGCCTATTGGCTTCTTTTATTTTAAACTGTGAAAATTGTGCACTAGTTTTCATTTTTTACCTATTGTTGAACAAACTTTGTGTCATATTATAACCAATATATTTATTTATGCTAATATTTCTTTAAGTAATAGTTTAGCATAAAACTACTTAAAGAAATGTCTTACCCTTAATGTACATAACAAAAATATTACGACAAATATGTTTGATTTATTTTGTTCTAGGATTAATTCTAGTATATAATGATGTTTTCTAGAATATATACCTTTAGAATTTAAAATATCTATATTCAATGAGTTCTTTAAACACAGTAGGAATATGAAAATGAGTGTGAAGTGTGATGTTTTATTCAAAAGACTTCAACTGAATGACAGGGGAGTAGTTGAGGGTCATATTGATGAAGTCGGGGCTTTATCAACTACAGTTAAGTTTGTATATAATGATGAAGGACTAGACCAAGCTATAGAAGATACAATGATAGAAATATTATCAAAGATTGAAGACCTAGAAGCATCAGCATCTAATTTAGTATTTGAGAAGGTTGTATCAGTAACAATTCATGATGACAAGTATGACCCAACCAGAGCAGGTAGTTCCATTGGTCTCGTGGCGAGAGATAGACAGGACTACGAATGGTCTTGGTGCATGAGCGATGCCTTATATCTTGTGCTCACTGCAAAGATTAATGCACTTGCGAAGCTGCTAAGCTTATGGCTCTCCCGTGTAGTGTTTTGGCTTAGCCGCAGCACAAGGGGGCAAGGCGCAAACGGCATTACCACAAAGATTAAGGAAAGCGAACAGATGGCACAACGAGAAACGGCGTCTGGAACACTAATGGATATAAAAGATCAATGGAAATCACAAAAATCCAGAACGTCACACACCATGGAGGAGGTCTCAATAGGCCTGATAATTTTAGATTTTTTGGATTTTGGCATTTCCTCGAGTTATCAAAAAAAAATCCCAAACTTCACACCATGGAGGAGGTCATTTCCGCGAGTTATCCAAAAAATCCAAAACTTTACACACCATGGAGGAGGTCTGAATAGGCCTGACAGTTTTGATACTTTTTGTTTTTTTGATTTATATTATAGGAAATCCAAAAAGTCCAAAATAATCCAAAACTTCACACACCACCATGGGGGAGGTCTCAATAGGCCTGATAGTTTTGGAGAAAAAAGAACACAACATATAACTAAAACACTGTAATTTGCATAATATAGAGCACACTGTGGGTGTGTATTGGAAGGGGGGGTACCAAATAGATATATATATATATATTCAAACAAAAGGACTGGAAGTTACTAGTAACAAGTGCATCGCTATTAGGAACAGGTGCATCTCTACGAACGTACTGAAGGGGTGCCTTTAGGTTTGAAACAGTGAATGTTGGCTTGCGCAAGCCGAAGGGCTGCCATCGGAGTGGCGCTGGCAGCTATGAAAAACACATAGGTGTTCTCAAAGCGTGCACCTGAAGTTAGATTGATATACTCGATATTTGTCACGAGCAACCGGTAGTAGCTCATCATTAATCCAGTGCCGCGCCAGCTAGTCAATTGGCTGCTCGTGGCTTGAGCTGTGACAGACACTTTTGGTGTTTTTGGATGGTTCATGTGTGGATTCAATACCTCGTCCAAGGGAGTGCTACAAAGGAGTTTGGGACTTTACTTCCAAAGGAAGCAGTAAGTAAGGTGTATTGGGTTCACCCCACCCTCACATTGCCAGGCAGGGGCTGGACCTTCGTCACAGACGAGCAGGATGGATTGCGGGACGAATCAAGTGACGGAGACGATGAAGAAGAGGAAGAAGAGGAGAAGGATGGCTACCGCCTGGACAAATTATTTGGAGGGGTGGGGTATGTTCGCCAAATAATTGTTTTCAAATAAAATTTTGAGACATTAGTTTTTGAGTATGGGATGAGGGGGGTCTATATTTTGTTCAAACAATATTTTAAGAACAGTTAGGTATACCCTGAAATAATTACCAAGAACACCTAGAGCACCCCCAAATAATTTACTGAAAATCTACATCTTGGATGACTGATGGAGGTTGTAAACAAGTTGTAAAATCTGTTCAGAGATCAAAGAACGATTTTCAATTTTCAATTGAATCAAACATAGGAGATATTGATTCTGTTCATTTCCTGCAACATGCTTTGCAGGGTTTGCGTGGGGCACAAGATGAAACATTATAAGATCCGGCTGAAACGTTTGTTCAAACACCAAAGCACTATGATCAAGTTTAGAGGGATCAACATTGCATGTTTTAGTATTTTTTGGTTGCACTAATATTTTGAACATAAGTTTTTAATGGATGTTCAACTTGATTTTTACATCATGTGTACTCAGAAACCAATAATTATTTGAAAGCACCTTGTTGGGAGCCAAATAAGAAAATATAACCCTGACCACCTAAGAAATTATTTGGAGGTGGGTGGGAGTACGGGGTACCCTGAAGGCAGTACACATGGAGGAGGAGATCGAGGAGGGGGAGCTGGAGGAGCACGAGCAGCCTGCTCAGGAGCACAAGCGCCGTCCCTGAGCACAGACATGATTGTTGGACCCAGTTTTTCGACGCTTTGGTTGAGATACGTGGATCCAAACTCAAAGCCACGTTGAGCGCAACATTTATTCCGCTATGAATGTCCCCCGATGTCAAATTCTATCAATTTCTGTTTCAAGTGTCGGTGATATCCCTTTGGGACTGTTCTAATATGTTTTCTGGGAGGTGTTAGGTTGCAGGTTCAAGGTTTTCTTGCTTCGGCTGGAAATTTCAGTTGTGTGTTGTGGCTTTGCCAGTTTCAGAATTTGATGATTTGGCTCCCATTGGCTGACACAAAATGAACATGATAAGGACAAATAGGGCGTCTAAGTGTTCACATGGCAATAATACCCCTATAGTGGAAATTTGGCGGACCGAATTTGATCGCCGCAATCATAAACGACTCGCAATCAATCAACATTGTACCTTACAACTGGACTGCTAAAAAGAGGATAGGTTTAGTGCAATAGGACTGTAGAGGAGAAAGTTCGGTCTATTTATTTGCAATGACTTAGAAGGATGTTCTTTATTACTGTATTGTATAGGAGAAAGTTCGGTTTACTATTGCAACCTAGGAGGCAGTAAGAATTGAAAGGACAGTTTACTATTGAAAGTAGTTTATGGGTACCGCCCCGCCGGGACTGTCATGTATTTGGTTGGCGACGTCAGCTTCGTTGTCAGTTCGTTGCCAGCACACACGGGGTGGGTATGCTTGGGTGTTGGATTGATGCTACATGCAGTAACGTATTGTCAGAAGGGGCGTCGGGGGGTGGCTGGTTGCTTTTGATTGGCTGGTGTGACATATCTTGATGCTACCAGGTATTCTCATCAATGGCAAGTTAGTCACATTAATGAGGAAATTTCCGGCGTGTCCACACCACAAGCTATGGTGGGCAAAGCCTTTCTGGTGGTTTGTGTTGGTTTCGTTTTGGTTGCCAACCACCTCTCAAGATGTCGCACGGGCTCGATATCAGACTGTTGGTTCTTGTTGGCTGTTTCGGTGTGCAAGATGTTCTTGAAGATTGAATGTGCATGCCCATGTGCCCAGGTGTGAAGTTTTTGTACATTTCGTAAGTGTTCAGTTTCCCAGTTTCCCTACCAGTGACGTTTCTTCAAAAATTGTGCAATTCTGGCCATTCTTGCGCATACAAAGGTGTCCTCAGGCATTCAGTAAATGCAAAAGACAGACGACAACCACCCAAACAATTCATGTTCAGACCTTCAACCTCCACATCAGAACTCGATCAAGTTTTTGCTTCGATCAGACTGATGATCACTTCTAGGCCCCCCGGCGGCCAAGTTCACCACTGCCAGCGAGCTCCTCTCCTACAAGAAGTATTTGACGGGCCTGCGCGATAGACAGAAGGATTCTGAGGCGGAGGGAATTCTACAGGCCCTTTTGAGCAAGAAGGTGCGAGGGCGGACGGAGAGCGCTGACAGCTGCCGAACCAATCGGGTGAAACTGACAGAGTCTTGACGTCTTGTGCCGGTCAGTGTAGGGAAGTCTGCGGCTGCGGGGAAACTGGCCACAGGCAGATGGCCAAAGCAGGAGGAATGAGGAGAACGAGCTTAAGATAGTCCGCGGGATGTTGCGGGATTGCTCAACATTTCCGTGCACATGCTTCCAAATAAGTGATTTCTTACAATCACATGTAGAGTTTTGGGCTGTCAACAGATGTCCACCACATGCTTTGGTCAAGGGTTGCAGAACAGCCGCTGAACAAAGCAGGAGATCAGCCTTCATTTGTTGAAGCCATGAATCTTAAGTGGGTTCAAAAGAGGAATTGAGTACCGCTAGCTTTACGTTGGCCAACACAAACCTCCGTTCTTTGATGTTTCCGTGTTGCAAATGGCAAGGTGCGACAAGCAGATCTCGAAGAAAGTGGCATCCGCCCCTCGGTGGGGATGCGGAATCCGTGATAGACATTGGGAAGGGCTTAGCCATTCTTAGCAACAGCAGTGCACTGATATCATGTTTATCAAAGCTCAGGACTCACGACCTTCCAAAACACCTCAACAAATTGTTCCTGCAGTTCCTCTCGGTTGCACGCAGGCTGCGCTCGTTGTTCACGTTGTTGATAACTCAGAGATTCCGGAATCTCATTCGGCCTCGCACCGGTCTGTCTTCGAGTGGCCCACTCGCTTTTCGCTGTGCCCGCCCCGAGGAATGGAGCTGTCATCCTCACACTGGCAGGAGAATGGAGACTTGGAGTTGAGCGTCACGTCGTCTCTTGCCGTCTCCCGGTTCCGGCCGTTGGGCGTCTGCCGTTGAGACGAGACTGGGACGAGTCATGCCTGCCAGAGAGAGAGAGAGAGAGAGACCCACCATGACGGAAGTGTTCAAAAGACACCCACTGGGTTGGGGAGGACTGGACAGACTTCAAGTAGGTAAGGTTTTCCATCAACCGTACCAAAGTGGATGAAACTGACTGCCGGCTTAGGAAGGGGCTCGTTTCACTGCTTGATGTCATATATATGATAGATACATGTTTGTATATGTTTGTATAATTTTGTATACAAGCGACATTCCTTAGCTTATATACAAACACCCCTTCTGTAGATAAAACACACTATTTCTTTTTATTCACATATATAGTTTGTATTTATATATACACTTTGGGCCATTTTGAAGTTAGACCGATCGGCCATGTGGGGCCAAAAAACAATTGAATGGTTTGTTCCCCGCAATTGTGCATGTGCATTATTACATTGTTGGGTCTCGACAATCTGCCGTTTGTGAGGTCCTGCTACAACGAAGCAACGGGTTTTACAATGTTCTACTGCTGTCAGACAGGTGTTTTTTGGTTGCTGCGCGTGTTGCTTTGAGGATCACCCGCGATTGCAAGGCCAGGGCATGTCGGGGTTCCCTGAAATCAGGTTGGGGCTCGCTTGGCATTTGTGTGCATGTAGGATCGTGTAGGGCCAATGTAGTCATGACAGGGTTCACTTCATAGAGCACCAATTTACCAAAGGAAACTGAAGCCTGTGTGAAATCTGTGGTTGTTCTTTGAAATCAGTTAATTTTTTACAAAACATGTTCATTGAGACACCTCTCGATCAGGTATTGACTGAGCGTCAGCAGCGCCGGGTGGTTTTTACTGAGTCCACTTGTTGAAATCCAAGACTAGGGGATGCAACTTTCACAGAATTTATGCGTGTGGTGCACATGCAGTGTTAGTACAGAATCTCTTTGGAAATCCTGCCTGGAGCCCATCCATTTCCCATAGACGAGTGGGTTATATACAGCACCCCGTGCAAACAAGGCCAAATCTCCCAAGTCTCGCGAGGCTGGCGCAAGATTTGCTCAAGCGGCGGTGGCAGCCGCGTGGGAAGGCAGGAGCAAAGCCACGTGCAAAGGCAGCAGGGAAGCCGCAAGAGAAGGCAGCACCGAAGCCAGCAGAAGCAAAGCCCAGGGCAAAGGCGAAGTCAGCCATGAAGGCATTGCCAAAGAGAATGGCAGTGCCAAAGGCCCGGGCGAACACGAAGGCAGCCATCAAGGCATCCCCGAAGATGGCAGTGCCAAAGCCCAAGGCGAAGGCGAAGGCAAAGCCGCAGGAGAAGAACAAAGCACACGCCAAGACAAAGTCAAAGCAGAGCGCGAAAGCAAAGCCAACGAGAGCGGCTTCGAAGGCAGGACGTGCGAAGGCACCCAACACACGAGTGAAAGCAGCGACGCCGCGGGCGAAGGCAGCGGCGAAGCGGCATAGCTGAGAGGGATTATTAGCTGGGTTGAGGTCAGCCATGGACGGAGGTCCCTGATTGAAAGGAGATCCCTTTTTGAAGGGGTCCTTCTTTGTCCCTCATGAGGGATAATGATGCAATACTTAACACTGCAGATAGCCACACGTAGCGACGTCGCGTTGTGCGTTCACTTAGACGATGACTTAAAATCCAAAGCAGTGGGCTCCCATGGTTATGACGTCCCCGCTCTAATCTTTTCCTGCGGAGTGCGGCTCCAGACTGTGAGCGCAGCTGTGTGAGAACGTTGACGCACGGCCGTGTTGCTCAAAACGTTCACCTTCCAACCGGATCCGAAGGTTCTTGGGGGTGGAGTCCCCAACTGGTCCCTTATGATCGTGCCAAGACTCCAGGCATCAGTCTAGGCATCGCCCCCTGCCCGGCCCTGCCCTTTGTGTCCAAAGTTGGCCTGCCTGGCGGTATGAAAGAGTGAAGAACAATGTGAAGTTCATCTCAAAGGCTGCAACTCTTAAACACCAAGCTCTCCCCATCATTGTCTTTCGGATATCTTTCGGATGTTTTATGTTCCACACTTTTTGTTTAATGTGTTTTCCCTCCGTCCCCCCGTTCTCCACAACCAGGAAGCTACGCGCCAAGCCATTCCCTTACCCACCCTAAAGCTGTAGTGATTGGGCTTTAGCTTTGAAAGAAAGACCTATCTACAGCGCCAGGGCATTTGGTTGGTTTCCCTTTGCCAATGAGTCTAACTGGCAGCCATTTGTGCCCGGAAGCCTGGGGCGTAGGCCATGTCCGCACAAAGCTAGCGTTTCCCCTGCAGCTGCTTGCTAGCCTTGGGCTCGCAGAAAAGGATGGTAACCATTCTAAACTGTCAAGACTGACTGACTGGCAGAAACAGTTCTAATGAATTGCAAAACTTCGCGATTTCCACATGGCCACCTGAACAACTTTAGGGTCAAAGGAGTCGAAATGTAATGTGCCACCGAACGAAGTAAAGCTTTGAACGTGTTTTCATGTCATTTCTGGCGGATGGGTGGTTTGCAAGACGAAGACTTCTTCACACTGCACCGTTGAAGCTTGTAGAAGCTACGTAGGCATTTGGATTTGGACGTGCTTGATTTTTGTGTGACACAGCTGAGCACATCTCGGGCTGCTGCCATGCCAGTTCTCCTCCCCTTGCGTGCTTGTTCGACGACCTCCCCGTTAGCACTGAGTGGGAGCGACTCGAGTGATGAGAGCAGCTCCAGCGACAAGAACGAGTACGCAGAAGGGCTGGGTGTCTGGGCGTCAGTTGCGTAAAAGGGTACGGTACAGGTTGGGTTTGTCCGTCCTATTGCCTGTAACCGTCAGCAAGGCCTTTAGTAACCATCATCATCCACTGAAACCTGGTAATAGGACGCTTATACCAGGCATCATTATTTAATGTTAGGCCTTGGTTACTGGTACTAGGACCTTTACTGTTAGGCCATTATATACCAGCATCATTTGTTACTTGTATATACTTGTGTAGGATAGACCCAAGGCCTCAGGGTGGTTTGACTAGCGCCAGCTCGTCCACAGAGGCTTTGCTGACCGCCACCGGCCAGCTATCAGCAGTTTCGAGTTCGACAATCACCCCAGGGAGGAGCGCCGAATGCACAACAGGAAGGCAACGGAGGGTGTCGTGATCGGGTGTTTGTCCAAGCCAAAGGCTCTTGGTCAGTCAGCCTTTTCTATAAGGAGTGCTTAAAACACACATCATTGAGCAGCCGAACTTGTGTCCACTTTGATCTCCCTAGCGCTGACCCGGGTCCTGTTCGTGCGATTGGTCTGGGTTTTAATGGAGTTTTTTCCATTGAGACTAGGTGATCTAGGTGTTCACACTTGACGACTCCCCGCCCCACACTGATGCTAGGAGTATTTCGAGCAGCCCCGCAGCAGCAGTGGCGAAGTGACCCGTTGCATCGAGCTACCGCAGCCGAAGGGAGATGGTCCCATCTTGACGACGCTGAGAGAGTTGGAGGCGGGCGTTTGACTGGTAGGGATTTGTGAAGGCCATTCTCTAGTAACTATATAGATTGGAGGCCATCGCTAGTAGGTTGGAGGCCGTTGCTAATAGGTTGGAGGCCATTGCTATTAGGTTGGAGGCCATCGCTCGTGGGTTGGAGGCCATCACTAGTAATTAACTATAGCTTGGAGGCCATCGCTCAGAGAGTGGAGGTGGGCGTTTGAGTTTGTAGAGATTTGTGGGGTGCCGATTTGGATCAGGCGTCACTTGGGGCTGCACTTTTACTAGCAAAATTCTGTGCCACGTGGTGTACCGGCAAGTATTTCACAGGATTTCATTTGATCGTTTTTTGACAAGGCCAGACTCTGGACCTTGTGGGTGAAGGCTTGCCAAGAGTCGAAGTCTTCAGCCAGCGAAACCCATGTCCCACGAGTTGGATCACCCTCATGTTTGGCGCTCACACGCCTGCGGAAATCCACCAACCCCGCGGTCGATTCGCAGTCGGCAGCTCATAGTTCATGACCTTACGTTACATCTGAAACAATCAGAGCTGGAACATATCAACATGTCAAGCCACAAACTCCGTGCCATCCATATTTGGGTTCGGGCAGGTACGTCCCAGCAGGTACGTCCATACCACGTGACAGCACTCCGTCCTCCGTGCTTGCAGAATGAACTTGTTGAGGTCAACTAAGTCGTCTTTGATTGTGTGGATAGCATTGTTATGCATTGTTCAATTTGTTTCTAACATTGTTGATAGATTGTTGTAGACATTTTTAGCATCATTATTATCACGTTTCTGGGACAACATTGCAGCCAGGCTAAGGAGGAGAAGGAGGAGAGGGAAGCTAAGCGTGCCCGGACGGCCTCGCGTGGGCAACCTGCGAGAGGCGGGGAAGAATGTCGCAGAAACATTGAGTTATATTATATTTATATACCTTTAGTAATAATAAAGTTGGTAAAGCATCCGCCCCTGACAGTTGAACAACCCCTCAACATGGCGGCGGTCCCTCAAATTGTCCCACCAGCCATACCCTCAAGCAGTCCTTAGGGTCCAGACTGGGCACCGGATGAAAGCCCCTTACAGGATCCTACAGGTGTATCCTGACCCGATTCTCATAGTAATCTGAAAGGTGCCCCCAACCCACCTGGTGATGACGGTAGTGCCGGCAGAGCAACATTTGCATTAGACCGTTTGTTCCCTTAACCCCACGCCGTATGGCATGGTTTGTAGGAGACACTTACTGGTCCGATATTAGTCATTGATAGTAAGATGTTAATTCAGACATCAGGGGCTCTACACTTGAAATCCCTGCGAAGTAGTTGCGGGTATCACCAGCCGATAGCCATTCTCAAAAATTCTCAAATGCTCCACAAAGGCTTAACGGACACCCGTGCTCCCCTGACCTAAGGTCACTCACAGAGGTCACAGGCGTAGGGGTCCTGCTTGGTGATAACATCCCATCAGATCCAGGCCTCCAAGTCATAAGAGGTCCCCACTAGCAGCTAGCGATGGCCTCCTCCCTAGTAGCGATGGCCTCCACCTAGCGATGGCCTCCATCCTAATAGCGATGGCCTCCACCTTAGTGGC